TCTTTCCCTTTATAATTAATATTTACCTTTATATTAAATATTTTGTGGAGGTGACACTTTGAGGCTACATAAATAGCTTGTTATTCATCCAACTTTAGCTCTCTGCTCTTAGCTTTCTTGCCTGAATTATTACTCTGATGGTTGCCAGACACTGGTTTTCTGGTTCCTGCACTCCTTCTGTATTCTGTTAATGGGCATTTTTCTATAAGGAAGACCTTTCTCTTCTTTGATATTCATATATATGAAAATGGGTTTGTGGATTCCTATTCAGTGAGATAAAATCCATTACTGTCATCACATATTTCCTCAAATTGTCACATTTAGCCATTGGGAGCCTCTCAGCTAGCTTCTCTATGGACTGACAAGCCACCATTATTCTCTGAACACTTCTATACTTTCAGACCCATCTCGTGAGTTTGGTTCATCCCTGAGATCAGCCATTTTTCCAAAGATCCCTGACTGGTATTTAAAAACTGGGTGCTAGATACACTCATTACTCCTGGGTGTCACTGCTCCCAGGCCCTCTTGGTAGACAAAGCTAGAATATATGTTTTTTTGCATACGTATGCAAAATACATATACATATACCTACCCATACACACACATAAACCATGAGTTCACACCAACCTTTCCATTTCAATCTACCACCATCCAGGTTCATTCAAGCTTTCCCTCTTTCCATATTTGTAACTCCTTTTCTGGACAGTAAGAAACCTGGCTCCCATTTGCCTCAATATATTGACTGACTGGCTCAAGCTCTCCACCCACCCATGTAACCCATCTCCTGATCCCCGTTAGGCTGCCACCTCAGTTGGCTGCCTTCTCTGCATGGGCCCCAACCCCTGCTGGACTGCCCTTGTTCCAGCTTACCTAAAGCCAGACATACACATATGTATACTTTATTTTTTAGGGCAGTTTTAGGTTCACAACAAAATGGAGCAGAAGATTCAGGGATTTCCCCCGTAACTCCTGGCCTCACATACTGCACAGCCTACCCCACTATAAACACTGAAGGGCTTTTTGACAAAATAAAGCTTTATTTAAAATTGTTCTTTAAAAAAAAAAATTAACTGAAAATTATACCTTTTTAAAAAAATCTTATGTGGTTTGACATGTTATATACTTGCACATAAATACTACTACTGTTCCCAGACAGCACAGATTAAACTTAATTGATCCTGTTCATACAACTCTTTTTATGTCAGACATAAAAAAAGCATAAAAACCATCCTCTTATGTTAAACTGTTGGCAATAGGAACAAAGATTTATTCAACAGCTACTATTTGTCAGGCATACTTTACAACACAGTGATTATACTCCATTTCACAAATGAGGAAATAAGGCAATTTCAATCATTCTGCAATTCAGGCTGTACCAGGGAACTCACTTGGCCTACCCCAGAGTTTTAGTCTTAGATCGTACCTTGTGGTTGTGTGTTACTGTTTTCTACTTTCATCCTTTGTATTTCTGCTCAGTAGTTGTTTCTCACATGATCACCCTGCAAGATAGGTAATGTCACTGAAAACTGTGAGTTCAGAAGCTATCTTGTGTCTCTACATTTGTTTTAAACTTTCTGTATAACGTGATTTAAAATGTACACCTTTTAAATAGGCTCTGGATATTTTCCCTAAAGGGCACACTTCAGTCATTTCAGGAAAATATTAACTTTGAGAAAAGCTTTCTGTTTCAGAGGAATTAATAAATTAATTCTGTCCCTTGATTTTACTTCAATTATATTAACAGTTTTAAAAAATGACCGAATCTGCAAGTTAGATGGAATCATGCCCACATGGAAATGCCAGTGAATGCATTTGTGAACTGATACAGTAATTCACTTGTTATAAAACAAAATGCATGAAATACTGCAGTCATTGGAGAACACAGTGACAAACGTATGCAAACTGCCATATTTCCATGTCATGACAATTTTTAGGTTTGTCATTTTTAAAATTTCTGCTATAAGCAAAAATCGCATGTTGAATTGAGACACAAGGTAGGAAAGGATGGGTCTTTTAAAGTAGGTGATGATG